ACTGATTTGTCAAAATGTTTCCCACAGAACACTTCAGAAGGTCTGATGCACTTCACTAGGATCAGTGGCTCACTGCAGAGTGGCTGAGGAAGGAGGGTGGTCCTGGAGGACCAAGATAGAAGAGGACATAGTTTTAAAAGCAATAAGTATATCTCTTATACTCCCTGAAAAATTCCCCTTCATTTTCTCACTAGAAAATGAACAGAGCATTGAACCCAGAGGTATTTTACCACTGAATTACATACCCATCCCTTTTTATTGTTTATTTTGAGACATGGTCTCACTAAGCTGCTGAGAGCCTCACTGAGTTTCTGAGGCTGGCCTCAAATTTGAGAGCCTCCTACCTCAGCCTCCAGAGTCACTGGCATTCAGGCATGTACCACTGCTCCCAGCTCACAATGAAATGTCTTAGAGAAAAACATACTTAGTTTGACCAAGCTCATGGAAGTACTAGGGGATAAAACTTGAGGTTGGGGATACCATCCCCATAGAGCAATATCTTTACCATTATGATCATATCATTATTTCTCTACAACTTTTAATGAAACTTTTCTTTTGATTTGTAACTTATGCCCTCTAATTTTCTCTACAAATTAGAAGCACAGATRTCCCTCCATTTATCTAAAGAAATGTGGTTATTCTCCAGGTGATAGCACTAGACATTCTTGCTAATTTTAATGTGATAATAAACAATAGTAAATAATGTGATAATAAACAGGAACCTGAAAGGAGTGGCAATACGCAGATGGAAATAAATAAAGATGGAAATACAAAATTCATCCCAATTTCTCATTATTTCTATGGAAAGAGGACTGGTTTAAATTTGAAAGCCACAAGTGTTTAACTTGGAATATATAGCACCAAGTATATGTAGGTATTTAGAACTATTTGCAAATTGTTTTCATAAACATAGAAATTTTCTTGAGTTGAAATAATGAAAGTAATGCCTTATAATTTTAGAACACTTTGGGGGGTAACAAAGCAGTTTCTTATATACTCTACTTCAAAAATTTTAAAAAATAAAATAATAAGATTGGGGATGTAACTCAATGGTAAAGCAACTCTGAATTTAATCCCTAGTACTTAAAAAAATTTGTGACCAGGTTTGGGATCCTCTTGTTGATATAATAAAATATATATATATAAAATATATATATATATATTAACTCTATTAATTACTATATGGAACATTACTATAGAGTCAAATTAGCTCTTGTGACTATTGAAGGATATGGAAATGATAAGCCCCAAAACAGTGTGGCCTAGGAAGAGGGAGGGAGGAAGAAGGCAGCACATTGATAACTTTGATCCTTTCTCAATACATCCTTTCCCAGTGACAAGACAATCCCTGGGAAGGAAACAAACATCACCCAGTGACAAGACAATCCCTGGGGAGGAGAGATCCATCAAGTCTAAAATGACAGTCTCCGGGGAAGAAGCCAAAGCATTGATCCTTACCCAAATACATCCTTTCCCAGTGACAATACAATAGACCCTGGAGGGAAAGAGATAAGGACTGAATGCTGATTCTGGACCCTCTCTCCTTGCCCAGTAAAAACAAACTTCAAATTCTCACAAACTGTTTCCTGAGTGCCCAAATTGATATGTTCTGATAAAGTCTTCAATGGTTAAGTCATCTCCCAGTGCGTAACCTATATAAAACCAGACCTCCCCTGTAATCGGGCCATTTTCTACTCAGAAAGTGAGCTCTCCAATGCCTGACTCCACTGCTGAGCAAAGGCTTGGTGGAATTCGTGAGATCTGCACCTGTCCTGGTCACTTTTGTGCTTACAACTATGGTACAACACTGCAATTACAGATTCCTAACCTTAAAATAGGTGAATTTTATACTAAGTAAATTATACCTCAATGCAGTTATTTTAAAAAATTAAGGCTGCCATTCATAGATATTCAACTCCAGTAGTGGCAGCAGTTCAAAGAATTATTCCTTCTGATAATTTTTGTAATTCTTCTGTAATCTCAATAAGAATTCTTCCTTTCAAGGAAACGAAAGTGTGTGCTTTGTAATATACTTTTCAATAGTGCTTAAGAAGTTTTTTCCTATCCTTGCCCTAGTCCCAGGCTCTTAGTTGTCTATGGCTCTAAGGAAAATTATTAGACAGCTCACAGCTAAAACCCAATTGTTTCCTGAAAAATAGTTGACACACATGAAGAAATATATTTTAAATGTTCAAGAGGTGACTCCCAACCCAGAAGCATAAATTTCATGGTATTTGGATCAATTTTAAAGGCAAAAATCTCAAAGCTGGTCAAAGTGTCTTAACAATGTAAAATGTTCCTTCTAATTTTGTTCCTCACCACTGGGACTAGGAGATGCAGTTTTGGTACATAGGGCAAAGTCATGCTCTAAGTTATGCTCCAGTACGGTGGAGCTGGAAGGTTTTCAGGATGCAGGTCCTTGGTAATGTCCTAAAAGCCCTGCACTCCTGCTCCAAGTTCATCAGCACACAGATCCAGCTGTGTTCTAATGCAATTTTTCAAAGGAGAGAAGAAGAGTTCATGTCAGGCCTTCATGCTCCTGGAATTAACTCTAATGCAACACAGAAACAGAAAACTATTTCTATTGTTAGTAGCCAAGGTTTTTTTGTTTGTTTTTTGTTTTGTTATAAATTTGTTATAACTTAGTCCTATATATTCATGTGTTTGGTACATATCTTTAAGMAAGTTTTACTTTACTTGCATTCTTTCATTTCATTTTAGATTGACAAATAAAAATTGGGCCAGGCACAATGGCACACACCTGTGATCCCAGAGGCTCAGGAGGCTGAGGCAGGAGGATCACGAGTTCAAAGCCAGCCTCAGCAACTGTGAGGCACTAAGAACTCAGTGAGATCCTGTCTCTAAATAAAATACAAAATAGGGCTGGGGATGTGACTCAGTGGGTCAAGTGCCCCTGAGTTCCATCCCTAGTATCAAAAAAAAGGGGGAGTATTATTTACCAAGTGTAATAAGATGTTCTAAAATATGTGTTTGTTGTGGAATAAATGGAATTCTGTGGTGAGAACACTCCACCGTCTGCTCTCTTAACAATTTTCAAAATATAAGACACTGTATGAACTGTGTGATGTATAGAAAGTATCCTGACTGTGACTGGGGACAATATGTGTCCCCTTAAGAAAAGCACAGGGTAATAGAACCACAACTTTCAAAAACTAGTCAGATTTTAAAATGAAAGGCACAGACAGTAAGTACAATTAAAAGGAGTTCAGAGAATGTGGATATGAAAAAGTAAAATGCATCAGGGCTTAATGTTAACTTAAAATGAGACTTATTTATAATATAAACCCACTGATATGGGGGTTCCTGATTTTTTAATTTATTTTTTACTTATCCATTATTTTTTCATTCTTGGTTCACAGATGCCTTTGAGAATTCAGGTAAAAGCTAAAACTTGTTTCCCTGAAAAATAAACATATAGGACCTAAGATTTGTAT